AACAACAACAACAACAAAAAACCACCTCACCTGTTGGGTTTGCGGGTCGGTGTCACCACCTCCCGAAGGGCTGGAGGCCATGTCGCTGCTGCTGTGCTCGCAGGTCTGAAGGCACGACTTGTTTGCTCGCTGCTGACGGAGCTTCTCTGGTCGGACCTGTCCCGAGCCTCGGCACCGGGGGCAGTGGCTTCCCTCCCGTTGTCTACCCGCTGGTGCGCTCGGGAAGTCGTGCCCTGGTGCCCCACGGGGTGACCTGCGGCAGGTACAGCGGCCGCTGCCGTGCGTGAGGTCTGCGCGCACTTCGCCGCCCACAGACGGCAGTAAACGCGACCCCTACAGCGGCACAGCGCCGGAATAAACCATCTCTCTCCCCAGGGAAACCCTCCCAGCAACGAAAACGTGTACGAAAAGTGAAACTAAAATCGTGTTGCAGCCGACAGGTTATTGTGAGTTCGCCGGACACCCCCCTCTCTCCCTCTCTCCCCCTCTCCCCCACCAAACCTCCCCCCCGCCTCGGCGTGTTCCTGGAAACCGAACCAAGGTGTTGAGATTGTAATCGTTATCGATGTTCGGGTTAATTTAAGTAAACTTCCAGTTTGCTGCGGTGTGGGGTGTGTGGTGGGGTGTGGGGGGGTGTGTGGGGGGGGTTCTGGAGAACTCGCCTGCGTTTTATTTCCCTGGAATGACTTTGAAGCCCGATTTCACACACCTTCTCTCAGGTGGATCAATAGTGTGCGGATAAACGCGTGTATTGATAGGGAAACCTCGAGTGGGCGATGTGCAAGTCCGCAATCCTTGAATCGATACGTTTTTTTTTCGCGATGCGAAATGGATACTGATAACTCCTGAATAACGGTCTTGCGTTACCTGCCACCAGGAAGCCAGTCCCCCCCCCGTGCATCTGGGGCTGAACTTTACGAATAATAATAATAATAATAATAATAATCCTTGCATTTGATATAGCGCTTTTCACGTCGGGAGGACGTCCCAAAGCGCTTCACAGAACACACTGTAAAGTGAATTGACTGTATATTTGTGGGCGAACGCGGCAGCCAATTGCGCACAGCTTTGCACAGCTTTCTCGTGCTCTTTTTAACCGCAGGCGTGAAATTCTGCGTGCACGATGTTTATGTTACTCTGTGTGATGAATGCTTAAACCATTTCCATTTCAGGAAACGCCAGCACACACCTGTGGGTTTCTCTCTAATAGGCACATCTCAGATTACAGGAAAACAAAACATGAGTCGCCGGGAACACTCAGCAAAGGTCAGGCAGCATCTATGGAGAAAGGAAAGTGAGTCAATGTTTGGGGTTCCCAAGACTTTGCATCAGAACTGAGCTATGTTGGGAAGGAGAGGCTTTTAAGGACTAACAGAGAGGGGTGGGGGAGGCAGGGCAAGGAAGACGAGGTAGAAAATGGGATAGAGGACAGGGGATGATGGTTAAAGGGATGTTAATGATGCAAAGGATACACATATCAGATTACACTCGTTTCAAATACTGATCAAAGTCATCCGTAATGAATCAAAATGTATTTATTTTGTTTCAAAGACATATGAACCTCAACTGTGATAATGAGATAACGGTGATTACAGAAATATTTGTATGGGTCAACACATTTAGTCGAGAAAACAAAATTGTACAATTGATAACCCACAGCAGCATTTCAAACTGAACCTGTAATCATTTTATATGGACTTTCTTTGCTTATGTACTCTTCATGTTGGAAAGCCTGAGCTTTAGCAGGTACTAAGGTCTGCAAAATATTTATGTTTTACGGACTGATCACTATTTGCCTCTTAATTTATTGCTTCTGTATCAGAAAATGGTGGCATTCTCCTGAATGTCCCTTTAAAGAGTCTCCTCTTAATTTCTGCAGCCATTTGGAATGGAGAGACAGATGGAATGTACTCATTATGCAATAATTAAAACTCTGAGATATGGTCAATACATTAGTTTAATGGTAATGGTCAACACATTACATTAAATGCTAAACTCAGAATTCACTTTTGATTTTGCAAAGTTTCTTCTGCAAGAAAGAAACTAATGTAGGTCCCGAGTGAATGGCTTTGGAGTAGAAAGCCAGATTCATACTTCTTGTTTCCAGTTCTTGTTGCGTCAGCTCGGCTAAGGTGTGTAGCCTCTTCTTTGAAGTTTCTTAATCAATCACCGCATGCTGTCATATTTTATGCAGGCCGATGCCGAGTGTGGGTTATACCAGCTGCCTCACAAACAATGTAACCTTGTCAGCGGTTTTCAACTGTACAAAATTACACTGGCAGATATTGCATAAATCCTTGCATTTATATAATTTAATAATAATAATCCTTGCATTCGATATAGCGCTTTTCACGTCTTCTAGACGTCCCAAAGCGCTTCACAGAATATACTGTAAAGTGAATTGACTGTATATTGGGCAAAATGCAGCAGCCCAAAACGTGCGCATTTGGCTGCCACAGAGTCATGGATTGAGTAATTAAAATTATAAGTTTTATGCACAGTTATTATTACGAGGATCTTGAACTGTATCCTCTGTGCGACGGGAAGCCGGTGGGAGTCAGGCGAGGAAGGGGGTGATATCTATGTGCTTGAATTAAAATACTCTGCGGAACTTTACAGTGTAAAAGCGAGAGGCGGTAATGCCAGAGCTCATACAGTCCACATGTACGGATTATTTATGTTTGCACTCCTGTCCTCCAGGGAAGGAAAATAGGAGAATCATGGAGGCGGGATCGGCCCGACATGCACCGCGCGAGTGAAAGGGCCCTATTAAACCTCAATAGACTCACTTGCTCTGAGAAACAGATTGTTTTGCAGCTTTAATCACTATTTCTCTCACTCACTCTCTCTCTCTCTCTGGCCAACAAAAAGAAGAAATCCGGATGGGGAGGGCAGAAATCAATTGATCGGCACACAAAAAAAAAACCCTCAGGGATTAATCTGTCGGTTGAGCTGCGAAGACGTCAATCAAATGCCCTTCAGGAGGCAGAGCCGTTTAAAAACGCAGCCGTGTGGCTGGAAAGGGTCGAGTAATTGCAATCCTTGCACAACTTCAGCTTTTCCAGTCAAACCGCGCAACCCTTTGGGTCATGTTGAGTCGATGAGCAGAAATACTCACCGCTGATTATTAACAATCACAGACTTTCGCCAACTTTATTTTGGTTCCTGACACCACCCCTCCTCCTCCTCCCAACCCCACTCCCCTTCGCCTTTGCTTTTTCTATCTTCCTCCTCCTCCTCCACGCTCGGTGTGAACCCACATTGCACAACTCGGCTCCTAAAGCCAGGTGGGTACGGTGAAGTGACTGTTTAAATGCCTCGGCTCGCTCTCTCTCTCCTCTCTCCCCCCCCACCTCTCTCGCTCTCCCTTACGCCCCGCCCACCCGCTTCTCGGCGCTCATTCGCGCCCTTTCTCCGCGGACACCTCAGAGGGGGGCGGTGAGGACCCCGGCGCGCGGCGCACTGATTGGCGGCTTTGAAAGTAAGCGGCGGCCGCTGATTGGTCGCCGAGTCGCGGCACCCGGTTTGAATCGGGAGCCGTGTAACGGCCGCGAGCGAGAGAGAGAGAAAGAAAATTCAAACGGTGGCCGGACTGCGCGGAGCTGTTGGTGCGTCTCGCTTCGGCGGTGGATAAGTTACTTCTTTTTTCTCTCCCCCCACCCCTCCCTTTTTAAAAATGAATCCTATCCTTCGCACTCGGTTTTTAACCTCCCGAACTTCTCTCCCTCGCAGGAGCGCAAGCGATGCCGGTGCGCGGCCGCCTCCCGGCCACGCCGAGAGCTGCCCCCCCCCTCCCCCTCCCCTCCCCTGCCCCAGGCAGGACGTTTGAGCCGATCGTTGGTCTCGGCCTCAGGTGGAGGCCGTTGTGAGCTGAAGGGGTTTGAGGGAGGGAGTGGGCAGAGGGTGTGTGTGTGTGTGGGGGGGGGGGGAAATGCCCCCCATTTAAACTCTGGCCCGTCTTCCTCTCGGCCGTTTTCCCCTCTTTTGGGGTACAACGGGAGGAGGGGAGTTACTCTCCCCGAAGAGTGTTGTGTTTAAAGTAATCGTTTCTGTACATCTCGGCCCCTTCGGAGCAGTGACCAGTCAGTGTCCGCAGCCGCCGAGGTTGTAACCTTCTTTTTCCCACCATTGGGCGGACAGACGGACGGTGGTGATCCTCCATCTTCTCGATGATGGCGTCCCTCCCGGATGTGGTGTTTGGGAGTCAGGAGAGTTAGTTGGTTGGTTGGTTGGTTTAGTTCGGTTAGCGAGTAAATCGTATTCCTTGTCTGCGGCTGTTGCCAAAAAAAAAGTACAGAACAACCTCGGGTTTCTTGAGTAGGATATCGAGGGGAATGACATTGAACGCCAGTGCCGCTGAGAGGGCAACAGGTTTGAAAGAGTGGGGTATAAAAGCCACGAAGTGGTGAGGAATGATGGGAGTCTCTGATTCTTGATTGGGTCAATGGACCTCTCCCCTCCCCCCCCTCCCCTCCCCCCCCCGCTCCCCTCCCCCCGAGAGCTTTCAAGGGACCATTTTTCAATGGTTTCCAGAGCAAATGACTGCTGAATTATTAGTAAACGTTTAGACTGGTGCAGATACTGAACCGGCTGAGTCTAATAATAATCCCTCGCACTTGATACAGTGCCTTATGTATTCGAGATGTCTCAAAGTGCTTTACAGAATATACTGTAAAGTGAATGGACTGTATATTTTGTGGGTGAATCATGGCAGCCGATTGCCCACAGCAGTGTCCCACAAAACAGTCATGGATTGAAGTGACCAATTTTTTTTTGAAGAAATTATTATCCCTGGAAAAGCGATCCGCCAACCGACTAATAACCATGTTCCTACTTACTGCTAGGTAAACATGAGTGTGGAATAAGGAAACTTGCCCAACATTTCGCCCTGCCGGGAATTGAACAGAGGTCTCTCATTTGCGAGGCGAGTGCTCTAACCACTGAGTTACAGGACAGTAGTTATTGAATAATGTACATAAATTTCCAGAAAACTGAAAAGATGAAATGTGGAGACCTGCAGCTTAGTGGTAATGACCAGAAACAAAAGAAGCCTGTCTGTATTGTACAGTAACCTAATAAGTGACTGACTGATGTATGAGAAGGGGGTAGATCTTGTCTCACATCTCATAGATTACCTTTAGATGAAATGCCAAACTGATATTAGGGTGAAGTGTGCTTACATTTGTAGTACTATGTGAGGATTATCCACTTAGCTAATCCAAAGATGCTTTGGATAGTTGGGTGGTCCACTGTATTCCAGGCCACTGCTGATGACAGCACAGCCAGCCTAGCTGATCGACAGGAGCTGGGGACAGGGAGTCATCCATCGCAGCTCCTGTTAACCCTGCAAGGCAAACCCTTAACATGTAGTAGGGGGGTCCCAGCTGTATGAACAGCAGGAAAGCTTGCCGGACAGCAATATCAATGGTAAGCTGGTTAGACTGAACACACATTCTGAGATCCCCAAAGTTTCGCTTTTGCCATCTTGTATCTAATACTTTCCAGAATTGGGTAAGCAGGATGCATCCCTCCAGGGATAGATTCCAACAATCTATCTCTGAAATTTCCATATGTAGATGGGATGCATGGAAATCTCAGCTTGGTTTGGTTATTCTTAAACATGGTAATTGGTTTCCACATGTGTCAGACACCTGGCTGACCCCCCCCCCTCCCCCCACCAAAATGCTTCACATTGTGGAAACTTGTGTGTTTGTGCCTGCCTAAATCCCTTGCAAAGATTCCTGTATAATCTAAATTTCATCATAACTCGTCTGAATGGTATAAAAGTAAATTAGCCTGCAAATGGCCTAAATGAAAACATCAAAAGGTGGAGCTGGATTAAAATGGGTGTTTTCAATTGGTAAGACATGGGAACCCAGTTATAACTTTGGAACAGTGCTATCTCACTTATAATGTTGGTTTATTGTGGAGCCAGGCACCTGTTTTCTAGTGTTGAGTAGAAACGATCCGATGACCATTGAGTAAGCAATATTTTCAGTCTGTTTATAATGCAGCCTCTGAGCCGTTGGGCCAAATGGCTCAGAGGCTGCATTATAAATTTTATAACATAGTTACCATGTACTGAAATTGCAGGGGTAAGAAACTGAAGCAGGGCTTCTCTGAGGCTGATTGGTCTCTAGGAAGTTCATAGTTTTCTACGAAATTGGATAGATTCAGTAACCAGCCATGTTTCTATCTCGTCTTTTTGATTCATTTTGAGATGCAGATGAACCCTTGATCCTGTAAGTGGTTCCTTAATGAGTTGGTTGGTTCTACATGTCAAGTTTCATGCTTCACATCACCTGTCCTAGTGTGCATAAATGAGCTTGATTTGCTGGTCTGAGGTATTAATTCTCGCTAATATTAAGTTGGAGCAGGGGCAATCTCTGGCAAATGAAATTTGATACTGACAAATTCATGATATTGTAAATTAGAAGTAGGCATGTGTGTACTCTGTGGGTGAGATGGAACTTGCTAAGGAGAAAGCTGAAAAAATGTTTTGGTTAATTTTCACTAACGGTGTTAGTTCACAATAAATAAAACAAATGGACTGCTGGGTTACATTAGCAAATAAATTCAGTTTAAATCTTAAAGGCCAAACTGAGGCTGTACATGGAATGCTGTACATCTGACTACGTCTGGAATGCTGCATGGAGTTCCAGGTTTTTCGGTCAGCCGGGCAGAAGTCCATCACCATGTGTGAGAGTGGCCCTTTCCATCAGCATTGCAGAATTAAGGAATGGAGATGATATGGGCAATTAATGATCAGACTTAACAATTACTGGGTTTAATTTGAAAATCCCAAGTCTAGCTAATGGAATTCATGATAGTTCAGATAGGACCATCTGGTGATTAAATATAAATATGTTGTATTGAAACAACAAAATTACATTTGCATAGCGCCTTTCACTTCGGGAGTACGTTCCATGGCACTGGACAATCAGTGTTTTGGACCTGAGCTGGGGGTCGGGATTGGAGAGGGTAGAGAGTGGGGGGAACGAGTAATCGAAAGCATAGTCGAAGAGGAGGGACTTGAAGGAGGCGAGACGGAGGGACTGAGGGATGGAGTTCCAGAGGGTGGGGGCAGAGTGGCAGAATGGTAAGGTGTTTGTAAAAGTTTATTTGAGTGAGACCTTATTAGTCAGGTCTATGAATCATATTGACAGTTAAGCCTTGAAAATTTGAATAGACATTGCCTACTCGTTATTAAACACAAATATAAAAGCAGCTCCATTTCATCAGTGAAACTTTAGCGATGCACTGCTTATGGTTAATTTTTAGGACTAATTGAACTGAAGAAACCTAGCCTAGTAAGCATCTGAAGGTTACTCGTAATTAAAATCTTATGGGTCAAACTCAAATAACCGTTAGAAAAGGCTATTTTATGTGCAGCTTAGAATTCTAATTCTCTTTATATTTAGTTTACAGGCTGAAGTGTGACCAGCTAGCATGGATGATTATGTGAAGATAGAGAAAATTGGTGAAGGTGAGGTACTCGTTAGATATTTTTTAACAACTTGAGTGCAGGAGCACTTATTTCATGACTCAATATAGATTTCTCCACTATAGCAAATGCTGTTCAAGTGCCCCACCCCCACATCTGCCCAAGAAAAAAATACTTGTAGTTGGAAAACCAGGAATCTATTTAATAGAAAGGAAACGGTGAATGATGCCCTTCTTATTGGTGCCTTTTCCTTAATGATTACACCATTTACAGACATAGAATTAACTGTTCTGAATCCTGCAATTTTTTTAAGGATCCATCCTTTACAATGGTCAAACCAAGAACTATCTTGTGTGAACTGTTGCAGAAAAATAAGTTCATCTATCTCAATGTCATTCTATTCATCTTACTATTACCATTCTAACTTGTGAGCATATTCACGTTGCATTTTGGTGTTAAAAGAACAGGTATTCAATGCATCTCCCCCATCCTGACAATCCCTATAAAATTTCAATTTAGACTGAATATCTTGATTGCATCAATAGTTGCAAAACACATATTTAATACAACAAATGTTTTGTTGCACTTGAGGACACAACTAGGAAATGTAGCCCGGCTGAACATGTGGCTAAATAAATTACAATGAGGATCTCTTCTTTTTTGTTCTAAAATCAGTCTTGTGAAAGAAACTTAAGAATAGCTTTTCATGCAGGATAATTGTATAGATATTACTAAAATATATTGTTTCTTCTGAGGGAAAAGAACGAAAGTTACTGTTTTTTTTAGGTACCTATGGAGTTGTTTACAAAGGACGTCATAAAATCACTCACCAAATAGTAGCCATGAAGAAAATACGATTGGAGAGTGAGGAGGAAGGTGTCCCCAGCACTGCAATCAGAGAAATATCGCTTTTAAAGGAACTAAAACATCCCAACATAGTCTGGTAAGTGGTACTTAAATGTTAGATCCAATAACTGCACTGATTTGGACCATATAGTTTTGTTATGGATTTGAAAACCATATCGATAATTGGTTATAATGGCAAATACAATGTACGTTACTAGTCAAAGCCTTCCATTTGGAATTATGCCTTCTCTTCTCCCCTCCGCACCCCCCCCCCCAACTTTAACTTTTTATTTCCCATCTTAATCTTTAATGGTCTGCCCTTCATTGTGGGGGTGTAAGAGATAGATTGCATCCACATTTCATCTTGACCACAAATGCACATTCCAATAGGGATCACTGGGTAATGATCTGTAGTGAAATCCCTAGCTGATTTCCCCCCCCCCCCCCCCCCCCGCTTCCTTAGCCCAGAGGCATAGACATAGGATCTTTATATGTAGTGCAGTGACTTTATCAGAAGCAGGAGAATAATCTCTGGAAATAATGCCAATAATCTGGTTTAAAATTTACTTAAGATTAGTTGTGATCATTCAAGGTCAGTCTTGATTCATATTCTGAACAAAGTGAATTAACATAAATCAGAACGTTCAGATCACGTCTCTGAAAATCATGCTTTATTTAAGAACTAGGTGAAGCATTTTCTTTCATGGAATGATTCAGGTTTCCTGAATGATGAGAGCCAGCTCCTACTTATTGACGTCACCCAATTTTCATTTAAATTACAGTCAATAGATCCTTAATCTTTTTGTATTAACCTTTCATAATCTCAATGTGGATATTATTATTTTTAATGCTAAGTTAGACAATCATGTCCTTAATCTAAACTGCTAATTGAACAGCACTAGAAATTCTGAATTCAAATCCCCATAGATCCACTTAGGCCTTTGCTTTTTTTAAATTGAAATGTTTACTCCAATCAAACCAATATAAAGAGTACATATAATCTTTTTACTTAGAAGAAAATAAAGGAATGAATATCAATATTTTTTGTACCAATATTCACTGTTTGATTAATAAAACTATTTGCATTGAGCAGTATAAAATTGCTTCAAGTGAAAGATTGATTTTGCTGCATTTGGTGAGCTTTTGTTTTATATTTGGGGATACTACAAGGGATATATGGAGGGAGTCAGTCCAGTTGCATATCACATATAGTTTAGCAGTAATTTACTATTGGGTTTGTGGAGGGTTTTCCGGGCCTAATTTTACCCTTGCAGTAGTAATAATAACAACTGCTAGTGAGACCAGGGTTCAAAGGTCCTCTGTTTGTGACATGTTTCTGTTTGATATGAGAGGGGTCTTGATTCAACAGGAAAGGAAATTCTTGAGACTGCATGGAATTTCCCTTAAGGTATAGTTGACCTACTTGTTTCACACTGATTTGACTTCTAAAGTGTTGAAACCACATGTTTTTATTGTGTGGTGCATCCCACAACTTTGGAAACCTATTACATCTTTTGGCTTCCCAAAGCACCATGAGCAAATTTCTTTGGGGTCTGGTAATCTTTACATTTTGATGTAAATTTAAGAAAAATATCTGCATGGTAGCTATAAAATGTATCCAGCAACTTTTGTCATCGTGTTTTAACTTTTTGAGCTGCATTGAACAGAATGGTCAATTGTGGTCCTGAGAAAATGTAGCACACTTTAATCACTGTTCTTTTCCATTTTAGCCTTCAAGATGTTCTAATGCAGGATGCTCGGTTGTACCTTATATTTGAATTCCTTTCTATGGATCTCAAAAAATATTTGGATTCCTTACCTGCTGGTCAGTTGATGGACCAAATGCTAGTTAAGGTATTTGCAATGTGAATTGAAAGCTTTTTTGTGCCGCATGTTCCTACATCCACTGGTACTCACTGAACAGTGCCTTTACTCATGAGTTCATTGGACCAGTTCAAGAAATTCTGTTCATTTTATTTGATAAGGTGCTATATCAAATGCAAGGATCATTATTATTATTTCCAGGGTTTACTTCATTTTTTTTCTTCATTTGAAGTGGGATGGGGATTGTCTTGAAATCAAAGGCCTTAAAATATGGGCATTAATGTTGTGTTTTGTGATATTTTAACTTAACTGAAGTCCATTGAATTGAAGTTTAAATTGCTCCAAGTGAAGACATTAAGTGATGGCATTTATTGATGTAGGTACATTCTCTTTAAGATGCAGGTGTAATATTTTTGAGATTTTAATTCGTCACTGGTCAAAGTAACACAATCAGTTATTGTCGAACAAGGATTCCCTTTCTTTGTGCCAATATTCTCCCCTCCTGATTTATTCTTCCCTGCCACAGATTGCAGTAAATGCATTGATCTGGCATTTTTCCAATGTGGCCATTAGTCATGTGCATCTTGACATTGAGGTTTTGGTTATTGAATTGGCTGTAGGGTTACAACCAATCCTGTTAATGGTTTTGCCTCACATCCACATTGCATTTTTTTAAATTCTCTTTCTAGTAAGCCAAAGTGGAGATTGATATAGAACCATGGATAAAAAATGTGTACTCAGCAAAGACTAGGGTTTTGAACCAGTGATTCTTGTTTGGCTGTTGCTACGTGTGGTGATGCATTTAACCAGCAATCTATTACTTTGCAAATAAAGAATTCAGTTTAATCTGCAATCTAATTTGATTTACTGATTTAACTGGAGTTTCACAAGCTCTTGTATTTTTCAGAGTTACCTATACCAAATTCTACAAGGAATTGCCTTCTGTCACTCAAGAAGAGTCCTGCACAGAGATTTGAAGCCTCAAAACTTACTGATAGATAGTAAAGGGGTTATTAAGTTGGCTGACTTTGGACTTGCCCGTGCCTTTGGTGTTCCTGTGAGAGTCTACACTCATGAAGTAAGTACAATTGTTGTCTTGTTTGATGCGAGTAACTGACGAGGCAAGAGACTCTTAGCACAGAGTTGCATTTGATTAAATAAGCTCCCTCTCTGAGAAAATTTTGAGTCATAACTGATTAATGTATGGGTAGTTGTATACACTATATGTATATAGTGGCAGCTTTTGAATACATCTGTAACTTCACACTGTTCATTTTATTTGTACTTTGCACTCCATACAGCTAAAGCTTTTTGCACAATTGTCTCATTTTCCACTTTAAATGAGCAACCTCACGTTCTCTAGTAAGTGACTGTTTTGCTTAGGGGACAATGTCACTCTTTATAATCTCTGTTGAATTGCCCACCCCCGATCCACTCATCTCCAAACAATTCATCTCGAGTCTTATCATATTGGAGTATTAGAAATAATAATCTTTATATTTGATATAGGGTTTTATCACGTTATTGAGACATCTCAAAGCACTTCACGGAATATATTGTAAAGTGGAGTGATTGTATTTTGTGGGCAAAACGCAGCAGCCAATTGCGAACAGCAGTGTCCCACAAACAGTCGTGGTGGTTGAGTGACCACATTTTTTGGAGGGATTATTTTTAACTATTTTAAACTTGTGACATGAAAATAGTTATTAAACTGCTTTGTGGGGCTTGCCAATATAGAGGTGACAACAATAACAACAAGATTCCATTTATAGAGCGCCTTTCACGTCGGGAGGACATCCCAAGGCGCTGTACAGTTGGGTCAGGACCCGAGCAAGGGGGAAATGGTCAGGGTGAGGGAAGGGAGGGAGCGAGGAGGGGGTAGAGAGTTGAGAGGGGAGCTGAAGGCACGGTCAAAGAGAAAGGTCTTGAGACCGGCCTTGAAGGAGGAAAGGGAGGAGGCAAGGCGAAGGCACTGGGGGATAGAGTTCCAGAGCCTAGGGGCTAAGACGCTGAAGGCCCGGCCACCGATGCTAGGGCGGTTGGGGCGGGGGATGTGGAGCAGACCGGAGCCAGAGGAACGGAGGGTACGGGTAGGTAGGTAGGTAGGGGGATAGTAGGTCGGAGAGGTAGGAGGGAGCAAGGTCGTGAATGGCCTTGTAGGTGAGGATGAGGATCTTGAACTTAATCCTCTGGGGGATGGGGAGCCAGTGGAGGCAAGCGAGGGTGGGAGTGATGTGGTCCCGAAGTCTGGTGCGGGACAGTACACGAGCTGCAGAGTTCTGGATGACCTGTAGCTTGTGGAGGGAGGTGACATCACCTATTGCAAGTTAATGATTGATATGGTTTGCTTTAAAAGGTTGTGACACTGTGGTATCGAGCTCCTGAAGTACTACTGGGTTCTGCTCGTTATTCTACTCCTGTGGACGTCTGGAGTATTGGCACAATATTTGCAGAAATGTCTACAAAAAGACCTCTCTTCCACGGAGATTCTGAAATTGATCAACTCTTCAGGATTTTCAGGTATAGTGTACAGCTGTTCAGGAATTATTTTGAAGCATTTAATTGTTGCTGTATATCATGTCATGACTTTGAAGTTGGTGTGTTACAACTCTGCAATTAGATTCTTTCAATGATACCATTTCTGGACTAGACTACAGAGGATTATAATTCAGATTATTTATTGATTGGTTGGTTGAATTATCGCTTGTATTGGTCAGGAATATCCCTGCACAGATATATCTTATTAACCTTGTGTTTTCCTTTTATAGGACACTAGGAACACCAAATAATGATGTGTGGCCAGAGGTTGAGGCGTTGCCAGATTTCAAAAATACTTTCCCCAAGTGGAAACCAGGTACCTTGTCGCAAGTTAAAAATCTTGATATCAACGGCATTGACATTCTGTCGGTAAGTGCTTCTATTTTCAACAATATTGACAATACTCCACTTGCCTGGATTTTTGAGTATGTGAGTTGACTTAGTCTTTATCAGTCATACTTTCCAGAATACTTTAAAAAAAATTCTGACATTATGTTTTGTGCTTTAATGTTTGAAGTACTGCTTTTTACCACCTGCCCACTCCCTTCAACTTGGCAGGCACTGGCCTGCTTTGCATCCCCTACCCTGCCACCATTTCTGCCTCCATAACACCATTCCAGAGTCCCTTTGGCATTCTCCTTGCATCCTTCAAGATCCATGCCAAGACAGAAAGGTACAGCGATCTCTTTCGCTGCACCTTCGGTAATCTTCCTATCTCCATCCCCTCTCCTCCTCACCTCCTTGAACAGAACTCCCAGCTTGACTGTCCAGCACTTTGGGACATCCATCTGATGTGAAAGGTGCTATATAATTGCAATTTGTTTTTTAAATTTTGTGTTTTTTTAGTTATTCACTGATAACTTCTAGATGACTTGTAAAGTTTTATAACCAGTGTCAATATTGCTGTAATTTAAGTAGTTGTGTAAAATGTTTGGCTAATCTTAATTTACCACTAATGTTGGAGCCCTTGTATCATTTTGGCTCCAACTGAGCTCCTAGCTGACTTGGAAAAGTTCTGTAGGCTCCCTTGATATTGAAACATCACTGACATTGTCTCTTAATTTTGGTGAGAGCAGTTGTGTACATCACTGCCTGAAGTGAAGTAATTTTCTCAATAAACTAGCCCATGTGGTTTATCTTTTGTGAAAAAGTACTTGTACTATACCGATCCAACAAAACATTCCATTCTCTTCTAATATATAATCATTTTTTACCAGAAAACATTGATTTATGATCCTGCCAAAAGAATTTCAGCAAAACAAGCTCTCAATCACCCATATTTTGATGACTTGGATAAGACGAATCTTCCTGCCAACCTGCAAAAGAACTAATTTGGTTTGAGCTTATTGAAAGATGATTACGTGTCTACTTAGCAGTTAAACTGTGTGCAGTTGTTAAACACATCAAGACCATTGATTTTTATTGCAACTATTGTATTCAAGTTCTGTAGATTTGTTTGTTTATATACATGTTGTCTTCTTTTGCACACCTATACCATGTAGTTGCAACATACTGAACTGTACTTTGTTTCTGTACCTTATAATTCTCATTGTAAATATAAATAAAAGGCCTAACTACACCATGTGGATTAATGTTCTAATAAAGTATGCTCTGAACGTAGGTGGAATGGAATATTCAAATTGGTGTAATGAGAATTTATCTTTGGTAGTTTGTCGTTCAAAAATGTTTGGCTTTAATGATGCTTAAATTTACGCTGTACTAGTGTGTTGCCACTAGATGTCACTTGTGCTGTGTACAAGAGAGGAGAGAAAGTAGATTTTGAGCACTCACCTTATTGGGCACACTTTGTACTTGGTCTGCCCTAGACTTGTGTACTTGGGGTTTTTTCTGCCTTGGATCCTTTGCCTTTGAGTGGTGGTGGGGGTGGAATCTTAATGTTTACAATTGAAACCAAGTTTGTATTAATTTCCCTAGATAACAATCTTCTATAACAGCAATTTCCTGGCATTGTTAATCTATCATTGGCAATAGATATAATTAAGACTATATCCTACACATTATTTCTTTCAAGTGGTAACTTGAAAAAACTGTACATCTCCCTTTCTTCCAAACACAATTAAAAGAGATTCCACCAATATTTTTGTACCTTTCATACTGAACTTTGCCCAATTTTATTGGGTCATTAGGTGTAAAATGTGCTCATTTAGGTCACAGCAAACCTGGCTGCAGTATGACACCATTTCCCATTTTATTTTAAGAATAGTTTGGGTTTTAACTTTTCTTTCATCTAGATTTTGACATTGCAGCTCAACCTACTTGAGTTTCTGTGTTTACCCTTAGTTACCGATTACAAGTCTAGGATTATTCCTACATTAATGTCCCATATTGTCAGGGTGAGGTTCTAGTGTTCTGTCACTGAACCTTTCCAGCAATGAATACCAACCAGTGGATGTTTGTGTTGCCATATATATATAAATTCAAGGAAGACTTTGACTTAGAGGTTGGATTTTTCCTTTTCACACGACTTATGCTATTTCTTATGCTTGAATATTTTTTTTTACCTTGAGACATTGATTGACCAACCTGTATAATTGCAGCTTTTTTTAACATTTATTTTTGGCGACAAAACTTATTTTAAACTTAGGGTTACAGCTTTGAGTTTACATGGAGCCATTTTCTTTTGGGGTTGCACAAACTAGTTTGTCCACTAGTTGTCATGACAGGCCTGGTAAGTGTATTTTTTTATGATTCCTGTGTTCTACCATTATCATTTCTATTCCACTGATGCTTTCTCAATAGAACTTTCTCAAATGTTAAATATTTATTTGAATAAATTACAATCATGTACATTTTGTATCATTATGAGTTCCATTGAAAAAGAATATTTTTATTGTATCTCAATAGGTAATAGTGCATTCTTAAACTGGAGAACAATCTTTTAAATGATGCTCCTGTACAGCTTTCACTAAACAAGTTTGCAGGTTTATACATTTTATGAGATGTACTTTCCCCAGAATACAAGTCAACTCATTTTAACTTGATTGGTCACTAGCAGCACTGCTGTACTGTGAAAATCAAGCTTAACTGGGACATTGGTACCTTATTCTTGACACCAATTTAGAAGGGTAATAAGGGAACTATCTACTAGAAACTATTGCCTTCTTCCCCATTCTATTTCCCCACAACTTTTAAGTGCATTCTTTACCTTTTGAGTATTGCATATCTTTGAAAATAGTTGTTATATTACAGGTATCTTTATTTGATTTACCTCACCCAGATTATTTTAGAAGATTATTTATAACAAAATTATTTATAGAGCGCCTTTCACTTCGGGAGGACGTCCCAAAGCGCTGAACAGTCAGATGTTGGGGCCTGAGCATGTGGGAGGGGTGGTGTAGGGGTGAGGGAAGGCAGAGGTGGGAGGGAGACCAGAGATGTATTCCATTTAGATGTTGAACAGTCGGTCTTTCATATTTCTTTGCATATTCTCCACTTGCTCAGGGTGTTCGTAATGAAAAGCAAATCTCACAATGATTTACAGCCGCATAAACTGCTTTTTGGATCCAGCGTGTGCTTGTCGTATTTCCATATTGCAAGTTTACCAGATCTCGGTGGATTTTGATTGGATGCGCTTGGCTGTTGAATGTTGCCAGCCACTAAATTGACGTATCTGCGTATTCAATATACTCAAATCTTTTACTAAAAAGTTACCGAGTGAAAACTGTATCTGTGATGAGCTGTTGACTCATTCATTTTATTTGTTTTCCCAAAATAGCTGTTTCATTCTTACCTTAAATTATTTCATTTTTCTCTCAGGCAGTCATTCAGTTTCAGGCCAGAGGTTTTACTGTCTTAATATTGCCAAACAAATTTTTCATATAATCCCAAACTACTAGGTGGTGCTACTTGAACTGAAACTACCACAATGTTTGCTTGCAGGTGAATCCTCTTGTGGATTAGTTGGGTTTCATTCCAGCTTTGCAACTGACTGTTTTGAGCAGCTGTGGAAGGAGCAAGTCTCTTGTCAAGAATTGCCAGGGCCCAACCTCCAGCAAACCACATTCACTAAATAGTCTGATCGCAGCAGAGGGTATGTTGACAATGCAAGGGAAGTTTACTCAGCTGTAACTTCTTTAAATCAACCTTACCTCTCTGGTCTTGTGGAACAAAATCAACTGCAACAGAGCTCCACCTTGTATACAGCATGATTGGAACTACATGAAATGAGTTTAACATGTGGGAGATGCTTTGATGATACAAAGAATGAATATCCCAAATGATTAACAATCTTATGTTTTTACATTTCTGATAAATGTACAAAATGCTAGTCATGACATTTTTCATTTTATTGCAAAAAGAAAAGTAACCATAAAGATCAAAGGCTAAAGAAAACAACCAAATGAACCAGCCACTTGGTTTCAGCAGCTGAAGACTTCACAATAGATGAATATTACATTATATAATGAAGTGACATCCAGAAGATTTTGGCAAAAATAGTATTTAGCTCAACATTACACAGACTAAATTATCTTTTACAACCACTGCATTCTCAATGCTCAGAAGAATCCATTTTTATCAGTCTTAAACATTTCAAAACATTTGTGTTAAACGTAGCTTAAATTGTTCAATAAGCAAACATTTGGGTGTGCATAACTGCATTAATAATAGCAAGATAAAGCAGCATAACTGGAATGATGCATAAGAGTTGAAGCTGCTCCTAGCTGCTTTTATGTATTTAGGTCCATATAGAAGTAAATTACCTCTGTTTAGATTTAGTTACTAAGCCCTTCTAGTTTTCTAAAAACTAAAACTACTTTTTCAACTTTGGTTACAACAAAGTTATATAGCTAACACCAGTACAAAAATAGTTAAATATTTAGTTTTGAGTTAAAACAATAGGAGCAATTCTTTTCAGAACCAAAGAAACGCTACCACTGACAGTTCATCAATATTAACAGTATTTTAAAACAATCTAAAGGTACCCCCCGCCCCCACACCCCCCCAAGGACCCAGCAGTGTTTTCATAGAACCAGCATTGTCTGGACTTGTGCTTTGAAAGCAACAATGATTGTTAAAATACATGTGGTAGACCAATTGTGGTTTGCAAATTGTTCCAAACATAGTCAACCATTTTTACAGTAAACAGTTAAGACAAACACAAGGTGATTTTTATTTTACCCCACAGAACAATGCACAAAATGTTCTGGCTAGTAACTACTATTGATCATCTACTTGGGTTCAGCTCTATTTTAGGCAATTGTAGATGGGCTCCAGAAGCACCACCTGCGTTTTGAGTGATGCTTGTGAAGTGCAACCTCCTCTTTTTCACGCTCCTTTTTCACTCGTTGGTAATGGTCTTCTTCCTTAAGATACCACACAGGTGGCCAACGGTGTTTTTCAAAATACCCTTGATTTTCTACAATTAAAATGGCAGATAAATTTAATTTGTGAAAATGTATGATTTCTAGGATGTTCATTGTGTAGATCATTCAAAGCATGTTTTTATTATTAAGTGTTAAAAACACCAAAGTAATATTTGGTTTCTTACCAGGAGATTTTGACTTGATCTCTTTCCTGAACTTGCAGCAAACACTGTTGTAACTTGTACAGATATGATGCAAACACCAAGCTGCCAGTTGATGTCCATTATGAAACTAAAATACAGGCGAAAAGCTGATTTTAGATTTGATGTAATGTGAGTTATGTATACATTTGTAAATTATTTAAGTAAATCTGATTTGAGTAATAGAAATACATTGCAGTTACTTACTTGGGCAAGTTCCAGGTATACCAACACTTCTTCATCAATATCGATAAATTCTTTTATTGCTTTCAGCAAGTCACGCACAGCATGTTGTTCTGTATAATGACAATGTACACAACTAAGTTACAATGAAACACAATTTTGCTAGACTAATTTTGAATTTCTTATGAAAACCTCTGAATAATCCATGTGGTGCAGAGGTGTAAAATGGTTTCAGAGTCAGCAACAAAGTATGTATTATTGGAAAAACAAACAGAAGTTGATCCATCTTCACCACAACTTTGAATTTTGAAACTTTAAATGAACAGACAGATAGGACCTTGAAGGATGGCATTTCCAATAAATTGCTCATCTGGAAAGTCAATCTGGATTGTGAGCTCAAGTCCTGGCATGTGACTTGAACTCACAATCTTCTGATTTAGAAGTGAGTGTTACAATTGAGTCCCAAGCTGACATCATCACCTGTAAAGTCACTATTTAAGAGCGACTATAATTAATTACATCATCACACATTTAATTGTATACTTTGACAATGTGATTTCATAAGATTTACAAATCCACTGTACACATTTCTAATCTGGAATAATTAGAATTTTTAAAATGTGGCTTATGTAGGACAGGATTTTGCTTGAAAAAGGGGAAACAATAAGTGGCAAAATACTTGTTTTTCAATTTTAATTAATGTCACATTTTATTCTTAAAACTGACCTGTGAGAGCCACCAAACGAGGAAGGCACAACCTGTTTGCCAGGGCAATCAGCTCAATTGGATCGAGAGCTGAGTTGAATAATAACTGGCTGGTGTACAGGTACTCGAGTGCTGCTTGCATGCAAGCCTTGCTTATATTAGGGAAGTAAACCTGTAAGTAAAGGCAAGGTAAAACATTAATCTTTCTTTTCCTACTCAATACTGTCGAACTCCTTGCCTCCCTCAATCCTACAATCTATGAGCCATTAAAAGATGAGCTTTGGCAAACAATCACTATTTAGTAATAAAATAATCCTTGCATTTGATGTAGCGCCTCACATGTCAGGAAGATATGGTTTTATCTAAACCTTCATTTTAAAGAAACTGAATCAAATAACTTCGAGTAAAACTGAAAGCTGAGACAGGCAGGCTGGCTTTTGGCCACAGCAATAGCCCGTAATAATATGTTGTGTAAAAGAACTGTTCCAATTCTAATTTATATCTTTTGAATCTAGCAATAATAAATCAGACATCTATTTTTGTTTCTAAGAACATAAACTTTATTTCACCAACCTCCTTGTTTGAACTTTCCACAAAAGACCCTCCAAACATAGCCGCCATCCACTCACAGCTAGAAATCAACAAAGGCTTATGGGCATTAATACTCCCATCTTCTAACTTAATGGTTACATCTGTCGTTGGAAATTTAAAAACAATTTTTCAAAACACTTGCAACTACTCAATGCTCTAAATATAAAACATCACTGAAATCAAATACAATTTACATTTTCAAATACATGAAATTTACATTTCAAATACAATTTCTTATACTGTAAACTAACAGATTTAGAGATACATTTTGTACCTGTTATAAATACTTCATATACCCATAGCTAGACTTCAGACAACATGGCACCCGGATAATAGATCTACATTCTATCTGCTATGGGTACGTTTATTAAACTTGGGATATATGCACTTGGAAAGGTAAGTTTGTCTTTGGCAATTTATATTTTTAGCTCATTCCACCTAAAGTTAGTAAATTTCCCAACATGGAAAGAATATATCATTACTATGCTAATGAATGGCAACTGATAATATCCTCAGTATGTGAGCAGGACATTTCACATAAATAGAAATGTTCTATTAACTTGGTTTATTTTACAAAAATAATTCTGATACCATCATGGTTTTATCTGGCTTATTGAGGTTTTACTATTGTTTCACTGGACTCTATCCAACTAAAGTCAATACAGTATTTACTGTGGAAAATGTAGTTAAGCATTACAGCATCAACTGGGAATTTCACATTCTTGTCTCTTATGAAGGAATCTACTGCCCATGAGTGACAACAGAAAGTCATGAGAAGCATTTCTGATGGGATAACTATTTTGAGAAAAAGATGAAAAATAAAACATTTTGAAATCACTCAAAATTACTTAATCATATAAATATAAAACATCCCTGAACTAAATGGTGCATACATTATGCACATTCAATTACTGGTAAGATGTGACATGATGCTGCAGCAGGGCAATCTTAAACGCTTCCAACGCAGGTCACATTTTATTGAATTTCCTATATATTCAGAAGGGTAACGGGTTAAGATACCTACACACAAATTGAATTGGCAACATTTCAAAGCCATAAAATATTATTCTAACATGATTTAAAATAAATATGATTATCCTCAAAATCAGGTTAATACCATATGGTCTCTGCTGTCAGTATGATTGACTTATTGTTTCCCATTTTTTTCTCATCCAATTTTCTTTCCTTTGCTTTTCTCCTGGACTCGTTTTTCCTTCTGTGGTATGGTTCTAGACACCAGATGCCAACCACCACCTCACGCAAGTGGCTATTATTCATGCAAGAACCTTCAGTGAGTTTTGGCAGGCTTCATAGCCGATTTCAATTCTCTGCACATTCACACACAGATACCTTCCGGTGGAGGTGGGGGGGGGGGGGGCAGAGATGGGACAGGGAGGCTATCTGCATATAGAGCAATCAGTAGCAGGAGGTCTTGCTCCCTGACTCTGGTGCAGAGGCTAATTTAGTACCTCATTTTTCAGCCTGGGAGAGGTCAACTAACTCATGGCAGATCAACCCTCAAATCTGCAATTTTCTGGTTTATATGGCCTAGTACTGCAGTCCACATCCGAAACTGAGACCTTTACTCACAAGGTCTTTTGGGGGGAGGGGGAACACTAGTCTGGCTGCATTGTGTAGCTAGTTAATACTTGTTACAAAAACATTTCCCATTAAATACAAGAGTATAAGAACTTACCAGAAAATGTTCCCTTTGCTAAGCATTCCTTTATTCGGTTTGCTTTCCTGACATGAAATGCCTTTGTGATCTCCTGATTCATGAAGGCTTCCTTGTTTTGAATATTTTCAACCATCATACGCAAGTCAAAAACTTCCAAAAGTTCAGCAATTTGTGCAATTCTCATCAGATCTTTCTCATTTTCATCTAGCTCTCCTGTGTAGAGAAATCGCAATACAGCTTCAAAAGGCCTTGGCTGGATTGAATAATCCATCCTGACCACTGTTATTAGACCTGTCCTCTGTGTTATAGGGTTTTTCAAGACTTCTTCATGAATATGAATAAAAGCCTTGCTCCAGAAAGATAATACCTTTCCTGCAGATGGCACCTTTAGTGCTGAAGATTCCTCCTCATACTTGATCATTTTCAAAGTGCCATCACTCTTGGATGTTCTTAGAGTGCATTGCATTGGACTTGAACTGATCTCAGAGCAGTCATCATCTGTGTCAAGGCTCATGGTTCTCATCAAATGTTCTCTACCTGGTTTCTCAGTTTTTCCATCATGAGCTTGAGAACCAGAGGTTAGGTCCAACAAAAACAGGTCATAGAATTTTGAGGATGAGGTAGCCAAGTATGCCTTGTGAGCATAAATTTCAATCTGGTTCTGAAGTAGAAACATAACGTCAGCACATAGTGGATTGTCAAGCAAATGACTGGGCCCATAAGCACTTACTGAACAATGAGGAATTTTTATTACTGGAGGTGGTGGCTTTGGTGGTAGAAATGGTGCCTGGAGTAAAGGCCTCTGGACCTTCTTTAAGTGAGATTTCCAGAACTGAAGATGCCGTCTAGTGATCAGTGCAGCTCTGACAGCATTATCAAATACATCCTTGATGCCAAACTGATCAAACACACTTGTTTCATAATATGGGATTCCAAGTTCTTTGGCAACCTCTCGACCCTTTTCAGGGGGCAAAATGTCATTGGGTTTTATTGGTCTAGGATATAAACAAAAAAAGACTAATATTTTTAGTATAGAAGTGACAAAAACTTGCCAACAATAATGTACATTTCTGTTTAATCTAAACATTTCAATGCTCTGTGGAAGACCATTCATAATTTGCTACAGTTTTTTTTGATTTGCCGGGTTTCTGACACATATAGAAATCCAGCACGTTGCTTAAGAGTATTCAAACCGGACAGTTCCACAATGATTGGCACACATCCATGGAAATGTCCATGTTTGAAATGGAATGCAGACAAAGGGACACACCCTGCCTACCTAATACCACAGTATAGAGTGCAGTTCTCAAGAGCCAGGGGCGACAGGTCCCATATTAATGTGCTACTGGAATTCAACCAGGTAAAACCACATAACTTGCTTCTTGTTACTTGTCTACCATCCATCCCGCCAGGGCTTTGGCTTGCAGGGTTAATAAGAGCCAAGTGGCAAGAATTGTGCCCCTAGTAACTAGCCTGCTCCTCCAACTCCTACCAGTGAGACAGGCTTGGTGGTCTGTCATCAAAAGTGCCTTGAAATACTGTCAACCCATCTGGCTCAAAAAATTAATTACTGAGTCCACCACAAAGGGTTAACGCGATTCATTACTCCATTGCCAAATGCATCACTTTGTAAAAAAAACAATAAAAAACAGTTCAGGTCCACTTAAATATCTGCTCCCCATTCTTCCTTTTCCTATAAAGGACAGTATTACTACCCTTAAAGGTGATCTGAGTTAAATTAAGATGAGTTAAAAAATGTTTTGCAACTGAGAACTCATTTTGTATTTACGAGGGGCACAGAATAGAGTGCCTATGCCACCTCAGAGTGATATCATCCAGCATTGCAGGCAAACTTAGAGACCTATAGTAAATACTTAGGAAGTGTCTCTTACCCATACTTAACTTCACTTTTTTTTAAAAATCCCGAAGATTAATTCCTTCAAAAATAAACTGGATACGTATCACTGCAGGATATAAAGATAGCTGCAGATCAAAGTGTCCAAACAAACACAGTGAATTTGTGTTGTTGGTATTCAATTATTATAGAGGAAAACAGGCCAGGATTGAATGGTAGAAATGTGGGGATAGATCAATAATTAGCAATTTTTGAATTTAGGATTTGCCTTAAGATTTCGCAGAGTACTTATACAATTCTTTCCCCAAGTAGATAGTCTGGATGGGATGAAATCTATTATAAGTAGCTTTTCCATGGTTGTGGGAGTGGATTTGATGGGCCAAATGACCTTTAGAAACATATCATTGGCTCTAATTAATTTGAATGAACTGCATATGGCAGCATTTCTTTTTTCAAAAAGTCTATTAATGGACAGATATTTTCAGAGGCAAATTATATAAAGTACCCATATATTAAAAAAAAATGCAAAAAGCTGAATAGGAACTAAATGAGTAATTGTAGTATAAAAGGATTTATAGCATGGTGATTACTCGCCCCCTGAGATTTTCTGCCAAGCAAAACACGAGTCACCAAAGACATTCTTAATTAGATCATGAGAATGTGTTCGCTCACATCTCTCCCACATATAAAAAGGAGTGACAAAGACAAACAACTTCTGGGAATTATAATTTAATGATAGGACTCCCTGGATATTTCTAGTGGTCGATCAATGCTTTGGAGATTTAAGAACATCGTATGTCTAGGTTTAACAACTAAATCATTAGTTAAAAAGAAACTGAAGTTTTTTTCCCCAGATGTGTAATTTTCAATACTCTTTTTCACCTTTTCCTGAATTTGCCTAAACTTTCTTTCACCGTTAGTATTAAAATGGTCTGGCAGTATATAACAATATACCACTTTATGAAAAACTTCTACATACTAAAGTAATACAGCGACTTGGGACGTCCTCCCGACGTGAAAGGCGCTCTATAAATGGCATCTTGTTGTTGTTGTTGCAATAGAATCAAAAGCAGACCATCAGTTTATCAAGTTTACTCTACAGTTTCCCTCAAGATTCCATTTCTATATCAGTCTCTAAATCCTTTTAGTTGATAAGAACTTGTTTAGTTTCCCTTTGGAACTGTTTATTCACCAGCGTATAGCAATCACTGGATTACTATGATTGATAATGAATTACATTTTGAATGTTGAATTTTTTTTGCTCGACTTTGCACTTGTACCATTTTGATCCAAATGCTTATTTGCTAAAACACATAATAATAATACTTGCATTTGGTATAGTGCCTTATCAAGTAACAAGGACATCTCAAAGTGCCTCACAGGATTTACTGTAGCATGGAGTTACTATGCATTTTGGGGAAAATGTGGCAGCCAATTTGCACATATAATATGCTTATTTCTATAAAGCTGAAAATTTAGATTTTGTGTAAAAACCTAGGCGTTTATATGGGCCACCCGTGTGAAAGCATGTCAAAATGCGCATATTACAAGGTGCATCCAGGATATTTTGGACTTTATTGGTTTATTTGCTCTGCCTTCACAACATTTCCACCTGGATAGTGTTAAATAAAATGTAACTGTTTTTGTCTGTAAAGTCCAGCAGATTTTTTTCAGTATATTCTGTGAAGCGCTTTGGGACGACCTCCCGACGTGAAAAGCGCTATATCAAATGCAAGGATTATTATTATTATTATTATTATATAATGTCAGACTCAAAATGTAATTAATTATCAATCATAGTAATCCAGTAATTGCTATAGATTGGTTACTGCTCAACATTCAAACTCAACCGTTTTATTATTATTACTCCCCTGAGTGGAAAGAATATCACAGCACAATATACTAATCAATATTTATATTTATGACAAAGTCAAATGGTCCAATTCACACCACACACTACAGCAATACGTAAATGATATTGGACCAATAGGAAACAGGAGAGCCACATAAGACGTATTTCTAGAAGCTTCACCACAAAACCCTTCTACTTATTCTGACAAATTGAGCCACATGTGCAAGTTATACTGGAAATGTGACTGAAAAACCAATATGGTTAGGAAAAAGAGACAAGACAAGGAAGTGCACATTACAAGACTTTTATTGGCAAAATAAAAATAATAGTATGGAAAACAAATATATCTGCTTTGATATGGATTAAAAGATACATGAATTTCCATTCACTGCATCACTTTTAACCAAAGCAAATATATCAATTAAAAACAAGAGCATTAAAATGCACTTTCATAATGTACTATCATAATGCAATCTGCAGTTGTGCGTGATCTTGATTTAAAATAAATAGGTAGAAATTTAGAACAATAAACTTTTGATCTAAATAACCTTTCCAAATACATTCTCTTTTGCACTTCTGATGTTTCATGAGGTTGTAGAGATTACAAGCATCATTGAAAAGCTTTGGTAGAAATCCTCAATGAAGTACATCATGTAACTCAAAGACCTTGGCAAATGAGTGCCTCTTACCTGTCATGGCCTTGGAGGATATTTCCATTCGAGGGAATAGCGCCTACCTTCCAATTATACTCTCTAGAATTCTTTTCTTGCAAATATTTGTTCCGTTTCCCAAGGTTTTTGCTAATTTCATTATGCTACGAAGAGACCTTCTCCTCCAAAATACTGTAATAACCTGTGGTTGTTCCACTCAAGGATGTCATGAATACGTCAGCTGTAGACAGGTGAAAAACAAGACTTTTTTTTTACTTCATTATGAAAAATATGAAACAAACCCTCTCCCACAAAGATTTTTTTTAAATAAAAAAACTTGCACTTATTAAAAAGAACTGGTTAATGATCACGACCTTTACAAAGATATTATAGGATTAGTAGTTATAAAGTTATGTATTGAATATGAAACATTTGAAGTATTAGAAGCTGTGTCAATTAAAGAAAAATAATGAAAAAGAAACTTACCAGAATTTTCTGAATCAGAAGCTGGCCATGATCCACGGGGTATAAGAGTTGGCTACCTCTCAGTTCTTCTAAATTTAATGATTTTCTCTTAGGCCATCTTGGGATCTTTTAAAGCGATCTTTTTGCTGGTAATTCACCATAGTCAGTGATGCTCTTCCTGCACTCTTTTGGTTCTGCACTAACTTTACATACCTTTCATTTTCTTTGCAACAACATACCCGTTTTCCACTCTTTGCCAACTTCCAGAGTGGAAAACAAGCTTTTTTTCCAAAAAAACACGTATCAGTTGATTTACTCATGGTGGGTAACAGTGAAACCCGTTTATCACAGGTGTTTTCTGATCAGACTACGTTTACTTCCAGTGGAGAAACTGTTTTTTGGTAATTATATTGGGCAATAAAACAGTGATTGGAAGGTGGATTCTCCTCCAAAAAAACAGCTAAACGTTTGCTATTACTATTACTGTTTTCTAAGCAACATGGAAGATTCCAGGATACGTATGTAATAAAATTGGAGTCAAACTTATGCAACAGATTTGAGTAAACTTTACTGACTATGTAAGAAGTAAAACTATTACTTGGTAACAATTTGCATTAGCATAGTATCCAAATTTCAAGATAGACCTAGAAATATCTTTTCATTAGGATTTCATGCCTAGTTTGTTACACATTTATATTATTAAGTTATTGACTGCAAGGATATCACATAGTACCTTGCTAAGGGGCGTCGAGCACGATTTACAGCCTCAAGATCAGCATAACGCAAGTCCAGCTGACAGCCGACTAAAACAACAGGTGTTCGTGGGCAAAAGTGCTTGATTTCAGTTAACCACATTGTTTTAACATGGTTAAGGGAATTTGGATTAGCAATAGAGAAGCACAGGACCACCACATCGGACCTGAAAAATGAAAAGATTTGAAAAATTACTTCAATTGATTATATCTTATTCATAATTGATAAGACCTTGTTTATGATCATTTACATTTGTTCTTTCAGCTATGCACAACATTTTCTTCCATGCAAAATGGTGACATACTACACTTCAGCAGAAAATAATACAAAGCCGTAGATGTCCAGTAATGCACTTCCTGCTGACAGTACCAGTAACATTGCTACATTACCTCGTAAATCATATGGTATATCCACAGTGCTGATATATGTTAGTTTCCCAGAGACAGTATTTATTTGGATCTCATTCTCTAAGTATTAATAAAAACAAATGTTTTGATATTATTGGTTTTGAACTTTTTATTTTGAAGACAATTCGTTTACATGTCACTTTTAAAAAAATTTTTTTAGGGATGACATTGTTGCCTTAGTGTACATTCTTGGAAGTAATGGTTTAGTTATTTGATTTTGTGGGGGAAAAAACAGCAGCAAACACCATTCATGCATATTCTTAAATGACTCAAAGATAATCGATTAACTGGATAAAGTAAATATGTTCAAAACAAAACTTCAACAGAAAACTGTTAGGGCAGAATCTTGCCCCATTTATGGTCAATGGAGGAAAATTATACCCTTAGTCTTTAAAGGGTCAGTATCACTTTTGATGACATTGAAGAAGCATTTCTAAACTAAAACCTAAGTAGTTTCCCGCACTTTTTTTAAAAATTGCAACCTTCACTTTTTCATATTTTATTAATCAACAACAACTACAGGTGAGATACAGTACAGTGTAGCCAAACATGTTAATAATTTTCACCTCATGGAAATTTAGAACCACGCAAATTCACAGCACAGAAGAAAGCCATTTGGCTCACCTCTGGGACTAGGATTCAAACTTATTCTGGACAAATGTGTTGAACATCCCCGCTCCATGATGCTTTCTCAGAGTCTCAACTGAATTTGAATAATTTCAATCTGTTTTACAATGAGTAGGAGTCCACACAAGCACAACTGTCAATAATGCAACACTGACTGTTAAATCTAACTTATATATATATATATATATAGAGAGAGAGATCTATGTGACTATAATAGTGTAGGAAATGTGTTTGTATAATAGAAGTTCTGCAGTTTTCAGAGATTCTGGATAAGGTAAATTGCCTCAGCAATTCTCGGGAATGCAACACCACATCTGACTTGGGAATGTTGCTGCTGTTACTGAGTATAGGGAGAAATGTTCCATTTTGAATTTGCACAAAAATCAAGAAACACACTTACTAACATGAAAAAACCTGGAACAAGAAAAGGCTATTCGGCCCTTCAAACCTCCCTCTGCAACTCAGAAGTTTCAGACACAAAAATGTTTGCAATCATTCCCCCACCTACTTACTAAAAAAAGGATACTGTCTCTTTAATATGATTTGTGTTTTTTTTAAAAGTTCCAAAATGCAAGAAGACACCACGAGTCATGAAAAAGTACCATGACTGCAACTTACAGTGCGTTTCATTTGCCATATCTTGAATGTGAGTCAGAGGAAACCCTATAAACAAAAACAGGTACAACAAACACTACAGATTGTTGACAAAAGAAAGACAATTTGATTTACACTTCAGTGAGAAATTCATGCAAAATGTTGAGGAAAGGTTGGATATGTCCACGTTTAAAAATAAAGATTTTTTCTCAGAATATTATTATAATGCACTAAAAGAACAGCATTTTATATGGAAATGTGGTTTTACAAATCCAAAAGAAATTAAAATGTTTCTAATTATGCAGATGGGTTAAAACTGTAGATGAGCCAAGTTTAATTGAGGAAAAAGTGAGTTATGAGGCAGTCGTTGAATCAAAAGATTCAGCTGACATAAATAGTGAGAGTGAGGCTTGCGAGGTGTATAAATGTCAGCTGAACCCCAAGTGAAATTACTACCTTCAATTTACTCAAAACCAGTTCATTGCTCTGTCCTATTGCAGACTATCTTGAGCCGATAGAACTGTGTGTTGTGTATATAAGCATATTTGTATACGTATGTGAGAGAGATATACCAGACAGTTTGACAGACTTCATTTGCTGACAGTAGTTTGAACCGTTATTTATACGATTAGGGCATCTGGAGTAATATGATACCACTAATGTGACACCTTTTCTCGTGGAACTCCTTTCAACTGTCGTGAGCTGCACCATATCAGAAACTGCACCATGTGGTCAGCTATCACACAATGCTGCTATCACTTCTGAAGTTTGTTTTTAAAACTTATATAAAACATGACCTTGCCAACGCAGAAACAATTGAGCACAATTAACCTTGTGGATTTGCTGTGTAGAAATATCAATTAAACACTCTGAAACACTCATACATCACGAGGACTCAATCCTAACTGGCGGGATGCCAACCACATCACAGGTCTGGTGTGAGAAGAGGGAATTCAATCAGCAAAGATCATCCCTTTGGGATGTTAAAATCCTCCATCAAGGGATTAAATTGTATTTTCAATAATACCAATATTTGTCCTCTTATCTTTTTTTAGCAGATTATTCCAAATATTTATCACTCTTGCAGAAAGACATTCCTGATATTCACTTTTTCCTACTTTCCACCTCTGCCCTCTGGTCTTGAAATAATAGTGTGGGTTTATCTTATCTAGATGTATATACTTCTTGTGCTTCGTGCATGCAATGTTAAAGGGGGTGACATCAGTAGCGAAGCGGAAAGGGCCATTTTTAGCAGTCATTCAGTACCAGAAGCTGGCTATATTAATGTGCTTCTGTGATATCGCAGATCCACAGAACACACATACTATACTATAAGCGACTCAGGATTAAGCCAGGGTGTGCAATCACAGCATCTTTTTCTCCTTTAACTGATTCAATTATTTTTTCAGTTCTGATTTACTTCAGTGGCATTTCTCAGCCCTGCTCAGGTTTCGTACAGTGACACACTATGATTGTTGATTTAAGATGAATCACAAAATTAAAAATATCTCCTAGAAATAAGGAGAGTTGTTTTTACTCTAATTCATAGAAATTATATTTTATATGTAAACCAACATAATTAGAAGTATAAAAAGTTGACGAAAAGTGAGTAATGTAGCTAATAGATGATCTGGTAATTAAAACACAGTCCATTAAAAAAGAACACTTGGTGTCAGTATTTTCTTGGCGATTTGGGTACAGCACTAAATATGTACTTGTAATGAAATGGTTGTAACATCTAGGCATTACAGTGAGGCCCCAGTATATACCACTAACATTTATAGATGTAACATTATAATACTTCAAGGTCATCAGTTAAATATCAAACTCTGGCTGAAGAAGCCGTGATGAAGTCATTGTTAATGTAGGTATCTTGAGTGCTTGTGTGCAATTCCACATTCCATTTAATACTGCTAAGAGACACTTCAGCACTTAATGGATGACTCAAAGCAGAACAGTCATTCATAGGAACTTGAGGAATTTGATAAAGCTGACTGCACTCACCAACCCCAGGCTACTATCAGTGTCATTGCTTTCATAATCCAAATCGAGATTTCTTGCTATCAGTACTTTTCTGCTTTAGGGCTTCTTACTCCTTCCAGATGGGTATCATACATTTTGCTATCCGTAGCCTGGATACAAGTTCCCCAGTGATATTTATATCTGCAGTTTATGGGCAGGCATCCAAACTTCTTAAACTACAGTCATATGACTGAATCCTCTTATTCTGTTCACCTCTATGGACTGCAGATCCTTTCCTAGCTTATTTATAGTAAGCAATTCAATCAATGTCTTGCAGATACACCAAATGATAACTGGAGACATAGCAAAGACTTCACTACAGCTCATTATAGAGAAGCAAATACAATACGTTTCCAAGTGTATTATCTGGCAAGTTGGTTGGTTGCTTTAATATATTTATTTTTCTAAATCTTTGACACACATTGTTTCCCTGAGTGCTATTATTGCTACTTCTTTGCGATTTTAAATCAGATTTGTTTTTCTTTACCTAACAGCAAGTTACTTTTTATATAACAATAATGAAAATCACATTATTTCAGGTTTTGAAAAGGTAAATTTTAAAGCACTGGTGAACACTCCTCAAAAATGGTTAAAAGAATTCTAAACAAGTACCAGACCACAATAAAATCTGTAGAAGATAGTCATTGTATTCTAACAATGTTTGCGTAGTTTAAATACTTTTTTGGATTGCATACATTCTGAATAGATTGTATATCATAGAATATTACAGAATAGAAGGAGGCCATTCGGCCCATCATGCCTGAGCTGGATCTTTGAAAGAACTATTCAACTGGTCCCACTCCCCTATTCTTACCCCATAGCCCTGCAAATCTTTCCTTTTCAAGTAGTTTCAAGTACTTCATATCTTCCCACAATACCACAATTAATACAAGAGGATAATTATATTTACTTAAGTTTAAGACTTGGATTTGGGCTGCAATTCAACATCTAGTTTTAGTCTCCAACCATCTAATGATTCACCAAATTCCCTGCTCGATATTGCATATCACCAACAATTCTGTCTCAATTTGTAGTTATGAGGAGCCCTAGGCGCTCTCCGTATTTTGGATTTTCAAGGGTGGACTGAATGAAACTACTTCTGTTATATTGCAAACTCTCAGCAAGGCAAGTTGACAGGTTTGAAAAATTTAAACCAACATTTAAATCATTATGTAAATCTATGCAACAACCTTGGACCTCATTAAATCTCATTGAAACACCTTGACAACATGGGGAGAAGGATGTTATAGCTGGAATGGAGGAAATAGCAGTAGCATTAATGCATTGGGGAAAGGGGAGGAGTTGATCACAAAAATTGATCGAGAATGTGCCTTTAGGTTATAATATCACTTGTTCAAATCAGCACCAACATGACACCAACCCAAAGATGAATCTTGTTCACGTTGCAGCAATTGCAACACACATAATATATCTGCCCCTTTACAGCAACAACAACTTGGATTTATATAGCGGCCTTCATGTAGGGGAGTGTCCTGGAGCACTTGACGCCGAGCCAGGGGGAGAGGTAACTGTAAGCACGATCAAAAAGGATTTTAGGCGGGATTTGAAAGTGGGGAGGGGGCAAGGTGAGGAGTTGAGGGAGAGTTCCAGAGTATTGGAGTATAGTGACTGAAGGCACAGCCATCTATGTTGGAGCAGAGGGGAGGAGGGACAAACAGGAGGCCGGGTAACAGATTGGATATGTAGGGAGGTGTGAGGGCATGAAAACAATTTGATTTCAGGATTTGAAAACGAATGAGAGGATCTTGACATCGATCCGTTCAGTAATTGGGAGCCGGTGGAGCCTGGCAAAGACTAGTGTGATGGGGATACAGAGTTTTGTGTAGATGTGTATCCGCAAGACGGAGCTTTGGATTTACTGAATTTTGTGTATGGTGGAGCTGGGGAAACCGTGTTGCCGACATTCAGCTCCAGGAAATTTGTGCTCATCCAGGCCTTGATATCTGTCAAACAAGCTGACAGGATACTTCCTCATTGGCTCAATTGGTAAATCCACATTTAGGTTCATGTAAATTATAAAAATGGATTTTGTAGTCATTCACTTATTAGCCTTTGAGACACAAAACAAATTTTAAGTCACTTCAGATCTAACTTGAAAGAAAAATCACAAAAAAGTTTTGAAAAGATTCAAGTTAAATCTAAATTGCTCAAAATCTTACTTATATGGACCTTGTTTTATTGAATATCTTAGATAATCCTAATAAGCATATTAAAGCACATCTCCTTCCTTGAGATGTTAGATCGAAGTTATAAATTCCCTCTGCAATGGCATGACCATTTGGCAAATAATCAATCATTTTCAAAAATAATTTGTCTACCAAAATTCAGGAAACTTCATATTTATTTGTGTAATTTAGTGAAAAGAGGAAACTATAGTCTTGATGGCTACTTACTTTCCCACAAAAATTGTTGGACTTTTTTCCTTTTTAAGTTTGTTTTGCTTCATCCTCCATTGAAGCGACTGACTTGTGCTGGGTTTCAGTTCCATGTGTCTCTGTATCTTAGCCAAGTGGCCATTCTTCACAACCAAACCTGATCCTCCTACCCAGCATACACTCATGCAGCTTTCCAGCAATGGACAGTAGATAGTGCTCAGAAGCAGGAATGATTTCCCCTTGCTAACTAAGGTATTAATGCCAATCAGTAATGCTCTGTGTGAAACTAACTACCTCAGCAAAGACCAGGGATCAAAATTAGGAGCCATTCGGACTATACGGCTTAATTTTGTTCTACACTGCAGTATTACCAGCCATCGGAAGAGCAGATTTATTAGCTTGTAGGCAAGATACTGGGGGAGAGGGAAATATATAGTGTTGTTAGAACTCATGTCTGCATCACAAGCAATTAGTATTATTGGTTTCAACATAAATAATTGGATAACATTGGAGACTATTTGTTCCACACTTATAACAATATAATGGTAATCCTTGCATTTGATATAGCGCTTTTCAGTTATAATAGGAAATCATTGTATAAGCACAGAACAAAAAGCTGTTTAAAATGCTGACCGTCTGAGGAATTAGAGGTTAGAAACAAACGATCTATTTCTGACAATGTCATTGCACTCAGGAATTTTTTTTATAAAGCAGCACATGCAAGTCCTATTTATAAACATTTCCAGATATCAAACATGGTCTCATATTGTAGTCTGCATTTAAAGTCACACTGAATGAAGGTCACACTGAAATGAGGTTTAGAAACTTATAAATAGCAACAAAATGCTTCATATTAGAAATGTTTACGTTATCTTACATTTACCAAAATAATTTTTTTAGTCAAGAATGCTCAAAATATTATTTATAGAAATAATGGGCATAAGGTCCAAGTGCCTTGTTTAGCACACATCAAAGTTACTATATTTAGAAACACGAGGATTTCCTCAAGTAATGGCTTATTTATATTTTGCTCTGCTAATCTGGATTTGTTCAATAACTCCAATTTTACTTCTGCTCCTTTGAAGGGAGAGGCTGATGTTCTGCAAATGTCAATGCATGTGCAGTTTCCAGTAACAAGAGAGGTTTGGAGGAAGAAAGCCATTTGGTCCTTTTGATCTCATTGTTCCAGAACACCCAGCCATACAAGTTCCCATAGTCATCAACCCATTAGTGACTTAGATCACCTAATTTAGCACACACCAATGATAAAATGTGGGACCTTACTGATTTGTAAGCCTCAGTTCTACACATAGCGTATTAATCTAATCGGCCATCAATGAAGTACTTCCTTCAATTTAAATGTGTTCATTCTTTAGTTTGAAATGTTACATTTTCTACATCTACATCTGAACATTCAGAAGCTTTAATATTCCTACATTAGGTTACTTGTGCAGACATGTTCTACTCATTTTGTATTTCTGATTACTTATCAAACGTATTACATCTTGTAAAACTAAAACATGTTTCTGCAAGGTTTCTTTTTTCTTTTTTACCTGCCATATGCAAAACGCCTGTCTTTATGGTGGTCACCAAACGTATCCCACAGCCTGAGCGATATGCTAACTTCATCTACAACATCACGGGAACGTTCAAGGACCTAAATGTAACCAACAGTTAATGTGATTGAGTTAAGCAAACTTCACTTTGGTATTTTTCCACCCCATATTTCAGTGCAATACATAAATATTGCTCTTGGAGACTAATTCATATATAATATATATTATATATACAATACACCAAATACAGGAAACAATTATTCTGTAATTGTAATTGAGCAAAGAGAACAGAATTAGTTCCAATTGAAGTAAAATAGTTAATATTTGGTACTCTATCAATCTGATTTTCAGATTATTTTGTTTTTGCAGTGTTGCCTATGATCTATAAACTACGGTACATTCAATGAGGATTTACTAGTTAAGAATCTCAAAAATAGCTGCAAGAATATCAAATTTCTTATTTTGAAATAGTTAATTCTGTTACAATATTGAAAATATTACATTTTGTTTTAAAACTTCTGTTTTAGAAGACATTTTTACAGTCATAAAAAAAATCAGACAAATATTGGCTTAAAATGGATTTTAAAATTCTACATCTTTATGCATTTTTCTTGCCAATTTTCTTCCCTCCTTTCCTGAATACGTTTTACTCCTTTTCCTTTCTACTGGGATATGATGCACTGAACCAGCGGCTTCCCGTGCCTTGCTAAAATAGCATGATTCATGCATCAGTCTCAACAGTAAGTGGCAGCAGGGAGTTCAACCTCAAGAGCATTGTAGCGATTACTGATCTTGTCTTCACCCAACATACACTTTCCAGCAATTGACAAATTGCGACTAACTGGCTGAAATTTCTCTCCATGTTCTAATTGACATACCCACCAGCAAACCTCAATCAAGCCTAGGACCCTTTCTGGCTGAATGTCTCACTTACTCACTACACTTGCTGAGCTAATGAAGGGGGATGATTTCTTAATTTTTTATTCAAAAGTAGAGACATTTTATAGCAAGACATTTTATATGTAAAAAGGTGCTTCTTTAATTGTTTTAGAATTTATATTTAAGACTCTTATGGTACAAGTTGCAGCTAAAATGATATTAAAACCTTTGCATTAAGCTACTTTTTGAAATAAATCAATGCACTACACTGGTCTTCTAAACCAGCTAAAACTCTTCAATGACAAGTACCACTTTACAGGTCCTCTGGAACCAAAGAAAGTGATTATTTTTATAACAGAATGTAATGTCTGAGAAACAAAATTTTACTTTGTATGAATGATGTAAATCTTACACTTAGGAAAACAAAATTATTCTTACCTCTTGGCAAACACGATATTGATCAATTGCCCACACGGTGGGGACATGGGTGGAGAGCAGTTGGTACTGTGTCAAGGTGGCATTGCATGCTCTTGCACAAATCAGTCGGGTCTTTCCGACAGCATTGTCACCAACTACAACACACTTGATAGTTTCAACATTAGGCCGTTCGTAATCCATACCAGTATCCATTTATGTTAAACTCTGTTGGAACAAAAAATGTCAAAAATAGTAATACATATTGCAGAAATATATTTCATGATCCTAAAATTATCAAAATCAGAATTAGCACTTAATTAAACTAAAGTAAAGTTCAGCTCAATACTACAGCATATTATAAACTATAGGCAAATGTTATTAATACTGTACTTTTTTTAGTTGTATGAAGGCCAATATTAAGCCATTACTATATTAACATAACTCAACTGTTTTAACTTGGCTGGATTTATTAGGTTCACAGAAGCGGAAAAGGGTGGACAGATGTATACTTCATCCACATTTTGTTGACGAAAACCTGCAATCCACCTTTATCGGCCCACAGAATTTTGTGCTGATGATGAACACAGAAGGAACAAACATATTGAAGTTGTTTTCATGTTCAAAAATATTTCATGGCTAAAAAAAAATCCAATTCGGCAGGAATACAAATCAGGAGGTCTGAAGCCATTTTCACCTAATTTGCCCTTGTGGCCAGGGACAACCATGGCTTCACCATATTTTACACAAATACCGATATACTTATTGTGAATTTTTTTTACCGTAAGAGCCATCCACACAATAAAAGTAATACACCTTATACATGGAAACATACTCATTATATTATTGAAAACTCTTAAAACATCTAATATTGTCAGAAAATACAATAATATACTGCTTGAAGTACTATTTACTTGTGACTATACTTTCCAGCTGGTTCACTGCCCTATGTGCTTCTGGACTTCTATCGCAGCTTACTTGGCTGTATAACAAGGATGAGTTTAAGATTTAGGGTTTTATATTAGAGAACTATGAATACAACCTACAAATCATCACCTAATTTAAACAGAATGAGGATTTAAGATCCTGAAATACAGTACTAAATTATTTGTACTGAGCTACAGTACATTATTTATATTATAAGTTAATTGCTCTGAATATGAATTAATCAACAAGGTAATTCCAAAGGCACCTGTTATTCTAGCTCTATTTTCTCATACCCCTCCATTCTTCTCTGGTACATTGTACAGAAATTCAGTCTCTAAATCAATCCACTGAGTTAAACAAACCTTGCACCAGACACAAGGATGGTAGTTGTATGATACCCTAACAGATAACAGGAATATAGCTCCAGGAGAAATCAATCTGCTTTTGTTTTTAAATCAATTTTAGAAACACATTTAACAGATGGTTCCACTGAGCAGCAACACTGAGACAAAATAATAATTAATCCTCAGCGGTCATAGCAAACGGGTGTTATAATTAGATGTTAAATTCTGTTGTGCACTCTAGTTGTAATAGTGCCCAAAATAGAAAAACTACTTTTCATGGATTTTTCTCTCCCCAGTACATAAATTTGGAAACTAGTTTATTCTGCCATTTAAACGTTCTGCTTCACCAGATTGATATTGTTGCCAATTTAGTTTCCCAAAATGTCTTTTTATAGAATTAAGATAGCACCCTTCATAGACAATGCATTAGGTATTTGAACTTCTTGTGTTTCTTATTCAATTAAGTCAGATGTCTTCCATTACTTTAATCAAGTGGAGGCATTTGTATAGTGAAGTTACCTATTGGTGTGGGTTTACATTCCAAGATGTAGTATCCCAAATTTTCCATAGTACTTAATGCATTAAGATTTTTGCTTAACTGCAGATTAAAAACATGCAGCAAAGCAGCAGAATACAGGTGTGTAACCCTATTATTTTAACTATTTTGGTTTTGCTCTAACTACCTCAGGTTTATGGCCAGGTCATGAAAAAAGAATATTGAAGTCAAGTTCATTTCATAAAGTATTTTATAGCCAAAAATGAAGGAAGACATTCATCCCATCAGTCACTGTGTCTTAAGAGATGAAAGGACACTGCGATAACCCACTTTCAACACTGATCACTTTTTCCACCATATCTCTCACCTTGGTATGTACAAAAGGTTCATTCTATTCTATTAAGTGCAAGAACTTTTGACAATCTGCACTTATAATTGGATAGTTCCAGTAGGGTATCTGGCACAGCTCAGATACAATGGGCCAAATGTCCTCACCCTGTGATAAAATTTCTGATTCTATAATCGGAAATTGCCACTTTGTCAACATCGTGAAAATTGAAATAATGCTATCACTTCATTATATCTTAGCAAGTTTTAGTCTCAGGACCTATCTCAGCTTTAATAGATGTGAAAAGTTATAAATAGGACTACGGATAGATCAACTTGTAATCAAGAATTGTCAGTAATTAACAGTGTCAGAAGCACAGAGAAGAATAGAGTATTAAAGGGAACGCAATTAAATTTGATTTTTAATGCCATAACTATGTGAATTATTGGTAGTAATAAAATCTCAGTTCTGATAAAGAGTCAGGGTCACAAAAGTCTTCAACTTCAAGATTTTTAGGAATATGTTCTATCAACACACTTATCCCCAAATGGATCCCAAGCAGACATGCCTCCTGACTATCTGTACAGCTGATGTTTCCTAAAAGTGAAAGGTCAAAAAATGGGCACTTTCAGTCAGTGATCTGAACACAATAATAATTATGTGCAGGATTATTGACCACTGATTGAAAGTGCACATTTTTTGAAATCAGATAGGAGGTTGTATAAATATAAACTTGTAAATTGTCTGGTGTGTAATTCCATGGCAATTGGTACATTTTGGGAGAGTTCTGTGATGTGAACCTTGTTTATTCCCAGTATGCTGTGCACAATTGGCTGCCGCGTTTCACTGACAAAATATACAGTCAATTCACTTTACAGTGTATTCTGTGAAGCGCTTTGAGAGTCTCAAAGATGTGATAAGGTGCTATATCAAACGCAAGGATTGTTATTATATTCCAGTATCAATTCAACAGGGAGAATAGCCATAATGCTGTTAAATTAGTGACAGTAGTTTGTTCTCGAGCCAACAGTCAAGCACAGAGTGAACTATTATTGTAACTGTGAATTCTCTTGACTCACACATTTTCTGTAGCAACAGAGGTTTTAGTGCCTGTGGTGGAATCATAACCTACAGATCGGAATTGGGACAAATGCAACACTTCATGGAAAGTGGCACAGTTTTTTTTTTAAATTGCAGTTTATAACCTTGGTCAGATAACAAAAAAAACTGATGGACAATAATCAACCTGATTAATTGATCATTCACCTCATGTCTGTTTGTAGGATCAAATGGTTGCCACATTCACCCACAAAAAGCAGACACTATGCTTAACAGTAATTATTTGTGGATTTTAAAACATAACTTTGAAACATTTATAAAGCGGTATAAAAATACAACTTCTTCCTTTAAATTCCTTTGATCTTCAAATCCTAAGAGTTATTTATATTGAACACATTAATGAAAAACATAAAATGTCACTAAAATGATTTTAGATTGTTAAATATGTGATAGATATCTATGCATATTCCTGGATTTATCAGTTTTGTTCTTTAACTAGTTGTTTTGAAGTCCACAAGAATGCTCAAAGTTTATTTTAAAACTGCTTTTCCCCTGTAATACAGAAGGTAAAAGATAAGCATCAAACAATTCCTAGTATGCAGTATACACCTCTACAATTTTCTAATATTAGTAGATTTGGGAATTGTGGGCCCTTTTTAAACCAGTATTCTATGAACCAGTATTCGAATACGCCAATTTTGCAATGCAGCAGTGCAGGTCAACTTCAGGCCCAAGCAGTGACAGAATTGGGGAGTTACAGAAAGGTCAATCTTTACAGTGGTTAACTAGCATGGCTAGTCAATGATGTGATAGTGTTAAAGTGTTAAATGATAACTATCAATGTTTATCCTGTATAATAATAATGTGGGAATGGCTGCCAATATATTTTACAGCTTCCACCAGAAGTGATTCCTATAGAATGTGATGAATATACGTCTGAATACATTTCCAGAGTGATTGATAGATGGTATTCTTCTCATCCATATAATGAATGAAGAGACAATGAGACAGTAATTTCTAAAGTACAGTATATCAATTTGTTAGAATTGATCAATGCAGTAAACTTATTTACTCTCCAGAGTACAGTAATTTGGACAATTTAAAAATTTCTGATCATAAAATTCCACCCTTGTGGAATACATACCAATTGGTTTCTGGGGAAAAATACATACCAATTGGTTTCTGGGGAAAAATCTTTCTGTACAAAGTATTTCCGACATCAGCACACTCTACATTGTTAATAATTGACAAGTCAGCTTTAGAAATTCACCTGGGTTTAAGATGATCACATTACATTGAGGGTAAAAGCGGATTACAAGTTTGCAACACAATTGAAATGTTCCAATATCATTAAAAATGAAACTGCGAGAGGGAGTCTCAACAAGTTTGTAATTATCATAACCTCAATATTATGTTAGCTGGACACACTCTCATCTACTTCACCGTTCACCACAGCACCACTCAAACGCTGACAGCATCAGCATCCAAGGCTGCACTCTCCACCTCTCAAAGCCAGTCAGGAGCCTCAGCGTTCTGTTCGACCCTGAGCTGTCCTTTCTTCCTCATATCCGCGCCACAACTGGCACCGCCTTCCATCACCTCCGAAGCATCGCCAGACTACGGCATTACCTCACCCCTCACGCTGCTGAAACTCTCGTCCACGCCTTTATCACCTGAAGGCTGGACTATGGGATCTCTCTCCTCGCCGGCCTTCCCGGCACCTCCCTCCACAACCTGCAGGTCATTCAGAACTCTGCAGCTCGTGTACTGTCCCGCACCAGGCTTCGGGACCACATCACTCCCTCCCTCGCTCGCCTTCACTGGCTTCCCATTCCCCAGAGGATCGAATTCAAGATCCTCATCCTCACCTACAAGGCCATTCACGGCCTTGCTCCCTCCTACCTCTCCAACCTACTATCCCCCTACTTAAATGCCCGTACCCTCCGTTCCTCTGGCTCCGGTCTGCTCCACAACCCCTGCCCCAACCGCCCTACCATCGGTGGTCGGGCCTTCAGCCTCTCAGCCCCTAGGCTCTGGAACTCCATCCCCCAGTGCCTTCGTCGTGCTTCCTCCC